TCATAAAGAAAGATCGCCTTGTCTTGTCTAAAATGGTATTAATGTGTTCTTTCATTGTTTCTATTTATTTGAAATATTTAATAGTAATACATGAAAATTATGAAACTTTAAAATAATTAGATAAATAAATTTTTCACTAATAAAAATACTATTGTCTTTTCATTTTTAATTTGATTGAAGCTCATCGATATTTTTATTTATTAAGCTGGAGCAATTTGATTATTGACTGTTAATCGTTGTCGCCATCGTTGAAGATGTACTTCAAATAATACATAGATAAATTGTCGACGAAATCGTTCAGATACACACATATAGATATAAAATGAACTCTAAAAATCTTTAAATACATATATTTCAAGTAATTAATCATTACTTACTGCATAATATGTATAGAATATTATTGTTGTTACAGTACTAAGAAATTGTATTATATCTGAGGCAGTTGCATTTTTAATATTACTTGTAGCAAATACAACAGCAGATATTGTAACAGTTGGTATATTAGTCATTAAATTGATAATTACTTGTACCAAAACCATAACTGTTAATTGTTTATCTAATTCACGACGAACAAGAGGTATTGTACGATAAGCTATTTGATTTATATTACGATAAGCTAAAATTCCAAATAATAGTGTAATAAAATCTGGAATATAACCTGTTAGAAACAATGTAGCAAAATAATTTCTGTATTGTAATAAAGTGTTATTTGTAATAATGCAAGTAACCGCACCAGTGACAAGTGATGTTACATGAATTGAAAATACTGAATATGGAATTGTATGTAAAATCCAAAATAAACTAAATATTATTGTAAGATAGTAAGCTGTTCTCATATTGCTCCATTGTTGCCAACGAGGATGAATAGAAGTTGCCAAATATTGATCAATTGTTGCCAAACATAAACATGTATATGAAATTAATGAACATATAGTAGCAATTGGTAATCGGGTTTTACAAAAGACTATTGACATTGCATTCCAATCTATTAGAAAACCATATATCATTATACGAGAAATTAACCCGAAAAGTAATTGACCAATATTAACAAATGATATGACAATCAGATAAAATCCAGATGTACTTTCTCGAAATGTTTTAAGGCTAAGAAATACAATAATATTGAATAAATTGCCAAGAACACCAGTTATAACTGTAATAAAACCTACATAGACAGTTATTTGTTGGCCAATATAAGTTAATGTTGATGTATTTGAAGATGACATTTGTATTTTCTTTCGTCGAATATTATTGTTCAATGTGATCTATAATATACAAAATTATTTCATTAAATAGTTTCTGACACAACAAGATCGTTTTTTTAGAGAAAATAATTTTTGTCCCTCCATAACTACAGACAATGTCTTTAACTAAATGAAAAAACTAAAAAAAAAAACTTTCATAAATACATCTCCGCAGTTAAAAAGCTTATCACATCAAATTGAATGACAGTTGTTTAATCTATTTATATTTTTAATAAAAAAAATAAAAAGTAGTATAAAAAAAATCTCTACATGTCAAAACAAAATCATGTACGAAAGAAATTGAATTCTGTTCATCAATATATTTCTTAATAGAAGAATTAAATAAAATATAGTGAGATTTTGTGAAGTTGTTTAAAAAATAGATGTACGCTTACTAAAAATGTCAATTTCCGATGGTAATGAAATTAAGAAAATAACATAAAATTATTAATCTACTAATGAATTATCTTATAAACAATATGATAATCGTGTTTTTTGTTTATAAAAAGAATTAATTAGCGAAGATAATATATCCCTACAAGTCATGATAATCAATAAAAAGCCATATTTTTCTCTTTTATTACATGTCAAATATGCACTGAGAACGTATTAGAATTAATGATCGTGAAATTTTAGTAACATCAGATACTTACTTTTTTCACACAGTTGAAAAGATGTGAGGAAAAATGTATTGAACATTTCAAAACTAAACCTAACTTGTAAATTGCTTCCGATAAATTTTTTTTATATATTAAGTGCATGTTCAAACAATTAACCGTAGATATACAAACGTTTGATTATATACTAGTCAATTTTCTACAGGAATCTTCTTCGTTTTTTTATGATAAAGGAAAACTACCTTTTCAATAAATTTAATAAAAAAAGGAGATACTTGTAATATGCAATTGTAGCAGATCTTTATGTCTGATTTTCAAAGGTAAAAACTGAATCCTCCGTCGTAAATATATCAAGAATTATTCGAAAAATACTCAGTTGTTATTACTGTATTCACTATATATATCTCAATAAATAGCACTCCGTCTAAATCTTCTTATTTTACTATAACTGCGTACAAAAAAAGTTTAATATATATACTGTTCAAGCCTCATTGCTACTATTCTAAGATTGCTCACATTAATATACGTTAGACGACATATAATAAATCTGACACTTGGATAATACGACAGAACAAAACTCAACACATCATTCACAAATGTCTAAAGTCCATTAACAATTAGTTCATTGAAATATGAAAAATTTATTTCCAAGTTAAATATCAAAAGAAACTAATTTTATTATATGTTTTTATATAAAAGAAAAAATGTTGAATATTAATTATTCGTATTCTTCAAAATTCTTTAGATTTTAATGAAAAGAAAAGAATGAATTAAAAACGATCTTTAAGATAGATAGAAGTCATTTAGTAATAATATACCTAGAAAATTAGTTTTGAATTTTTCTCGTAACTATAAGAAGAAGAAAAATAAAGTCATTACCAATTGCATCAAAACCAAAAGGATAAACATGTGTTAAGATTAAACAACTTCAATCAACCACTCAAGTCTATTCCAATCATTGTCTTTGATAGAGAAAATTTGAAAAAAATAATATAGCAGAAATTATCTCCATGTGTAACATATTATCGGGGTCAGTGAACGATGAACACAGAAACTTTAAGCACACGAGTGTTTAAGTCCATAATATCGACATGGATACAGGAATCTATCGATGTCATTTTTTCCGAGCCAGCGCCTTCACGCACGCTCTGATGCTTGTGTGCTTAAGTATCCTTGTGCTCATCGTTCCGGTTCTCATATTATCGATTTTCAATTTTACATTCATCGAAATCTTGAGGACGTGTATAATAGGAAAAACTATTTAGTGAATCTAATGTAGCAATTACCAGTTGATCATTTAGATCAATCTATATTAGTTTAATGAAAACTATATATAGATATTATAAGACTAACCGATACTATAGGAATACTCATTGCATCATCTCCTGTACATAATTTTAGACGGCATAGTCGTTCTTTTGTAATTACTTCCTTTTTTCCGTGCAACTTCACCAGCTATCAGAATAAATGAGAAATATTAGAACATTTTTTAGCATGTAAGATTCTAATCATGATTTTGCACTGAATGAAATTATAGAATTCATATTCTAATTGAGTACATAAAATATATTGTGTATAAAACCTTTTTATAGACAAAATACAATGACGAAATAAAAATTCTTCTCCGTCTGTTGAGTCTGACTAATAAAGTTAAAAATAGAGAATAATGATAAACATCTTTTAAATTTTATCTCATACATTGCCTTGGCAGTAAATAAAAACTATTTTCATCGTCCATTTCAATCTTATATGAGAATAAACACTTTTAACAGTATTAGATCGATATTTGTTCAGAATAATTCTTATATAACTATTTTTCTAGGAAATACAATTATATACTATATTGTACTACTGAAGAAAATTTTATCATTTTTTATGAATAGAGTAGTTTTTCGTCTAACATTGATAAGAAAAGGAGAAAAAATAACCGCACAGAATGTTTGGCGAGAAGAGATAAACTGATAAAAGACAGACAAATAGTTGTTTCTTTTTTACTTTCAAATAGTAAGATACATGATAAAATGCTAAATCATCGAAATGAAGACCACAAAGTGTGATTTTCATAATTCTACTTGAAGTATTAACATAAGACAATCCGTATAGACGTTTCATGATTGTATTATTCTCAGCAATGCTATTTAATACGAATTTCCGTTTTATATTCTAGAAAAAAATTTAATTATGGATCTTGAATTTACTGTAACAGAAACTCTTACTCATGATCTTGGTCGAATCAATGAAATAAATTATGATTTTGAAGAAATTACTGTAGAAAATGTTTCATTTGGTGTTACAAGCAAGAAAGAACGTCGTATTCGTACATATACTGCAAATATAAAACGTGAACAATACAATAATTTAGTTGGACGAAATCCAGATGCATTATCATTCGATGATTTCACTCATGTTTTACGTCCATTTATTATGGGATTTTATGATAAACATGAATTAGAACAAGCATTTAATATTTTAGATCAAGATGGTTCCGGTTTTATTCATATTGATGAATTAAGTAATTTTTTAACAATTATCAATCAATATATAAGTAGTGATAAGCTGATAAATTATATTCGAAAAGTTGATATAAATTCAGATGGTACTTTGACTTTTGATGAATTTCGATCGTTGATATTAAAAGGAGTTGGTCGAGATATTGTATGTGAACATCTATAAATTATATATCTCCATTGGATGAAATGGATTGATTTTGTTTTTCTTTTTTTATTACAATATTTTTTAAGAAATTATTCGTGAAATAAATGATTTACTAGTATATA